TATCAACTGATGGAGGGGGAGGAGCAACAGCAGGAGGACCTGTAATATAAGAAGACATTAATAATTATAGTGTCTCATGTTTTGGTACTGTACTATAGTACAGGATACTTCGTCAAAAATGACTAGGAATAAATTCTTCCCTTTTTATAATTTTTTCTGATGCATATACATGTACTTATGTTGTGTAGAAAGTTTGAGCTGATTCCGATCAAAATTGATTTTTTACAAATTTTTAATGATAGCCAAAAATTAGGCGAAAATCCCTGTACTATAGTACAGGGTCACGCCCAAATTTTGCCAAAATTGAAAAGTATACAATTCTCCATTTTAAATACATATACATGTTCTTATGTTGTGTAGAAAGTTTGAGCTAATTTTAATCAAGTTTGGATTTTTTACAAATTTTTAAAGTTATTCCGAAATCAGGTAAAAGTCCCTGTACTATAGTACAGGGTCACCGGCCAAATTTTGCCAAAAATGAAAAGTAGAGAATTCTCCATTTTTATTACATTTCCTGATGCATATACATGTACTTATGTTGTGTAGAAAGTTTGAGCTAATTCCGATCAAAATTAGATTTTTTACAAATTTTTAACAATAGTAAAAAATCAGATGAAAATCCCCTGTACTATAGTACAGGGTCACACCCAAATTTTGCCAAAAATGAAAAGTAGAGAATTCTCCATTTTTACTACATTTCCTGATACATATACATGTTCTTATGTTGCATAGAAAGTTTGAGTTGATTCCAATCAAAATTGGGTGTTTTAAGAATTTTTAAAGTTATTCAAAAATCAGGCCAAAGTCTTTGTACTGTAGTACAGGGTCACAGGCCAAATTTTGTCAATAATGAGAAGTAGAGAATTCTCCATTTTTATAATCTGATGCATATACATGTTCTTATGTTGCGTAGAAAGTTTAAACTGATTCCGATCAAAATTGGATTTTTTACAAATTTTTAAAGTTACTCAAAAATTGAGCCAAAATACAGGGTCACGGGCCAAATTTTGCAAAAAAATGACTAGGAGAGAATTCTCCTTTTTAATAATTTTCCTGATACATAAACATGTACTTATTAGTGATGTTCGATACCAGAAAAAATGAATTAGGTTCGATTCCGAGTACTTTTTCTCAGAGTATTGATGGTATCGAGTACGATTCCGAGTACCAGATAGGGTCAAAGTCCAGAGGTGCTTCCAGCCGGTTACTGCTGCTAGAATTGACCATGAACACTAAAAACAGGCTTCATTGTTCACTTCCTCACTTTTTCACCATCTCAAAGATTCAAACAACAATCCAGAAAGACTGAGAAAGTTCAGAGAGCAATCGGAAAAGGATTATCTATTATTCTTAATGTTCACTTTTTAAAATAAAAAAATATTTATATTTAATTTTAAAATTAACTAGATCTAGTAGTTTATTAACTATTATTGTAATTAAGTGGGTGTGGCTGTACTCGGAATCGAATCTTTCAATACTGGAATTGCTTTTGATACCGTTTCGATCCTGGGTAGTATCGAAGTATTGAGTACTTTGGTATCGGTATCGAACATCACTAGTACTTATGTTAAAATTGTATTTAAGTTGCTCCAATAATCCTCCCTCCCTTTAATGTCTCACTTTTAATTTCAAATACTTTTCCTTTCCTCAGTCTCTCTTCAATGTCAGCTGCTAGTGCATTCTCTTTCAGTCTCTTAAGAGCACTAATGACATCAGTCCATGTACCAGGTGGATATACCCCAGTCCATTTAGTCCACAGTCCCATCTTCCTACTCTCCACTCCAGTCTTGTCCTCTTCAATCTTATCAATGTCCTTTTGTTTTATTCCTGGTAAGTACAGTCCAAAGGTTTGCCATTTTGTTAATGGTTCCAGCCATTCAGCCCACAGGTCTTCTCTAGGACTGGAATCAAGGGGAGAAGGTGGGGTTGAAGAGGAGGCCATTTTGTGTTGTGAGGTGTGTGGGTGTTGGGGATTTTCCCTTCAATAACATTTTAACAATAAGCAATCAGCAATTCATAAAAAATTAAAAATAATATTGAAAAGTAAACACTATAATTATGGCCTATCCCTAGTTAAAACAGTTCTATAAAAGGTGCAAAAAGTTACTACAAAGTCAATGTCTAGCTACATCTAGTTTAGATTAGAAATTGTAATGCTTATTGTTCCTTTAGTAGGTCACCTTCACGAACGGGATCATTAAAGTATTTTAGGACAAACCTTGCACACAAGACAGCTGCAAATGGTTGCCAATCTTTGTTTTTGTCTTCATTCCCCCAGTCAACGATAGATTTTATTACTATCCATTCAAATCCTCTTTCTCTATCAGCAACCCGATGTATACCATTTGCTTCCATTTCTCCTCCAAGTGCTTTTGGGACGTATTTTAATATTTTCTGTTTTTCTTCTTCATTGCGATGCAACGTGAACTCAGAGACCAAGACACCAACGTGAACTTCAACTGATTTATCTGCTTCATATCCAAAGTCTTTGTCATGTTTGAATATATTTACCAGTTTCTCTCCACAGTGGTATGTGTCAGCTAAAATGATTGTATCTTTTTCTTCACGCTTATTTTGAGTATCGACAATACTTTCAGCAACAATGATATCACCTAATTTTGTTTTGCCTTCCTTTGCTCCATAGCATATCCCAATAGCAATGACATACTTAGCTTTCACTATCTTTCGTATTGAAGTAAGAACTTTGTCGGTTTCCTTTGGACCCTGGCCTGTCATTATCACTGCAACATTATGTAGCCCATATTTCCCTAGGATAAATGCTTTTTCTGATTCTTCTTTTATAATGACTTTTATATATTTGCCATCATGTTCAGGAGGATCAGTGGCACCCATCACAGCACGGTACTCGTTTTTTGTGGCAGTCACCAGAATGACATTGACTTTTTCTATAAACTCTTGCTCTTCCTTGATTAGTTGTGTCGAAAATGTCCTCTTCATTTTCTTGTCATCCTCAAAGTCTTTAATTTCAGGAAAAAATTCACTACTGACAACTGGAGGCTCTATAACAGTGTACATTATTATTATTATTATTATTATTATTATTAGAACTGTCAAGATTATTCTAACATACTTTGATCATCTTTTTTTGTCTTGTCTGGTTCTATTCCATTATATTCTGCTTTCTCTGCTATAAAATAATATAACAATAATTATGATGTTCAAATTCTCTGTACTATACTCTAATATTATCTGTGTATTGTGAATCATATGTGAGCTTTACTCAGCTTAAGATGTACAACAATTTAATATAAAATACATGTACTTTTGTACGATATGATTTGTATGTGTACCTCTATAAGTACTTGTGGGGTCCATGCATAAACTTTAAATGATTTGACATGTTTTTGTATGCATACATTGTATTTGTATTACTAGTATTTGTACTAAGCTCGGTTTACATTCAAAAAATGATCAAAATTGCATAGGCGTTGATGCAAAAACGCTTTGAAGTTGACACAAAATTGGCCGAAATTTAATCTTACGTTCATTTTATGGCAAGTATAAACCAGGCTTTATATTACATGCATGGCCCAATATAGCATTAAATGAAGTATGGACACATTAAATGAGCTAATTCAATAGTTAAATAGTTAATTCAATTAATACTTTACCTCCTGAGCTAGAGTTAAACCAGCACCAGTAACTCTCATCACTTTCACTGATATCATTTAAATCACACTTTGAGCAATTTGCTACCTTATACTCTTCATTCACAATGCAATAGCACTGCTTATTTCCATTGGGGCAAGGAAATGCATTTTTATAATGCTGTTCACTACTGATGGTATTAATAGTTGTAGTAATTAGCTTACGGACTTGTGGACAATAGTTCTTAGGACCATTGAAATAGACTTCAATATGTCTATAGCGATTGATGATGTATAGTGTGCAACGTTTTCCTTTAATGTAGATTCGAAGTGAAAAGGTATCACGATACATTGAGTGATCTTGACGAAATTCAATTTCTTCCTTTTTGAGCAAATGGACAAAAATTAAAATAAAAATTCCTTGAGGAACAAAAACAAAGTTCTTTGATTTTGATTCACCTTCCTCCGTCCACACATAATAAAGAGGCTTTATACTTTTAGGTAGATCATTATCATATTCATCATTGTAGGCAGGTAAAGCAACAGGAATGAAGTAGATATTATCATCTATGCTATTATTATCTCCGGCCCTCACCCACGCTTTGTGTGTAACAATGTCAAGATGTTTAAGTAGGCTAATAAAGTATTCTGATGTGAACTTATCTGAGAATACTTTTGGAAACTTTTCAAGAAGATCTTTGGTGAAATAGCCTTCCTTTAGATCACATATCTCAGTATTATCTATTTTTGGTACCAGTTTTGTTGCTGGTATTGGATAACTGACATAAGTGAGAGCTAACAAATGTGAAAGAACATCGATGATTTTCTGAGGATCAACAAATACTAGTTTTGGTTCAACTTCAATCTGAGGGTAGTATAAAATGATTGTGCTAGTGTGAAGAAAGGTTAGAGCTATTTCAACGTCTTTTTCTTTCATATAAAGCTTTTTGCCTTCTTCAATAGCTTCTTCTCTAGTAACAAAGCCTTTGCCTTCTGCCTTTTTTTCTAAGCTTAGCTCAAATGCAAAACAACGAACTGGGACTTCTATTTCAATGGTAACCTCTGTGAACTTTGACATTGTCTCTAAAATATTTTTGCTACTTTGCATTCTTTCATCTTTTTGTAATGTATTAACTGGATATATGACAGAAGTTTTATGTACACTGGGAATACGTTTTGTTAAATGGGGCACTGCAGACATCAAATCATCACTCATCTTGGCAACCTCTGCCTTAGCAGCTTCTTTGTTGTTTTTGTTTTTTTCAATCAAAACATCATAGTGAGTACCCAGGACAAAAGACATTGAGTGTTTAGGTTGATGCTTTACAAATGGAATATCAATTGGTTTTTGAACTGATGCTGATGAAACAACAGAATTGAAAACTTTACGATTTGTATGTTTCATTCCTCTGTCACATGGAAAGTTTTGTCCATCAAATCGATACATAAACTCAAACTTCTCATCAAGGTCTTTTGAAATATCAAGTGTGATGACATTAAGAGTAGCTGCTCTAGTAAACAATGGTAGCAGCTCCTGAAATGCTGGTTGACCACCAGAATCAACAATGTATACCCACTTCTCACTTAACTGAGCTCCTGCTTTAGGTATGAGATCAGCAATATCTTTAAGTACATCTCCAGCATCATTATCACCTTGTGGTGTTTCTTCTTGCTTACTTTCTTTGGAATCCTCTGATTTCCTTGAATCAGAGGATGAATGCTTTGAATTAGGTTCCGAATCAATTTGCTCTTCATTCCCAGAATTGAGATGTTCCTCTTGTGTTTCTTGCGCTTCCTTTTTGGCATCCTTTAATTTGTTCAAAAGTGGCTGAATTTGTTGAGCGGCTGCATTTTCTTTAGCTTCTTTTAAACTTGCTGCTAGTTTTTCTAGTAACTTATCTTCAGTAATTTTGTTCCATGTCTCTGTACCATCATGAGAAGCTATTCTAAGAGCTTTGACAGCTTTACAAGCTATTGGTGTACTGTCAGTGGTATGTTTAGTGGCTAGAGTGAGGCCAGAGGATTGTGCTTCAGTTGTAGACTTGGCAGGTGGTGAGCTAGTGGCTGATCGGACATCAGAGTGTGGATCAGAAGAAGTAGCAGATTTTGTGGGAGGTGGTTCATTAAGTAGAAGTTGTTGCGCACACGTTTTACCAGATCCAGCAGGACCGACCATATGGACACGAGTCAGTTCCAGCTTCATAATACCTTCTGTACACCACTTCTCTAGAATACCTATTGCCAAGAGTACATAATATTTTTGCTATTGCAATACACATGTAATCTACAGTGATTCATAGTCATTTTATTAATGTTTTCATTAGCCATTCAATTTATGATTACTGAAAGGAATCCTTTAAAATAGAAAATTTACTAACATTAATTTTATATGAAAAGGCAAGACATTTTTAATTTATAAGCTATGCATATTGCTTGATATACATGCTACAGTTATGAATTACTCTAAACATTATCTAACCTGATTTTTTGAGATTTTCAAAATCAACTGTTGTCTCTTCTACAAAAATAAATAATTATACTGAACCAAATTGTAATGAATGTTCCATAAAACATTTTTGTCACAAAAATACTTTAATACAATTTTTTATCATGATAGAAGTATAATACCATACAGTAATTTTCGACCTAAATCAAACCAATCAGCAATCGGACCAATCTGATTGCTCAATGTCAGTTTCGTAAATAAATAACTTACAGCCAAATGTCCCCTGGAGGTTAATAAGTAGTGCAGAGAATTGACTCATTCACCTCCTGTTGTAAAATGCATTTGCTGTTGTTAACTGATGCTAAGCCTAGTAGGTATCTAAGGCCTTATCAACCTCCACTACTTTGCATCACCTTCATATAAGGTACTATTTAGCTGCATCTAGCATTGCAACAAGGCATGAGTACATCATGAACAATATGCAGGCTGATGATTATCAATACTTCAGTATTATTTTAGTAATTATTATTTAGTATTAATGACATTACTAGTAGGCCTATTATTCTAACATACTTTGATCATCACTTTTACTTCCTTCTGTGCTATCAAGTGGTTTTCTATAAACACAGGAGCATTACAATAAATTGTTTGTTGTATGAAAGTATTATTTACTCTGAATCAGTCTCTTCTATTCCAGTACTAGTTGCCAAATGACCCAGACCTCCTTTGTCTGCATAATAAGATCAAGTGATTGATGAATATTTTATCATCTCTTGTGTCTTTTGTTATTATGTTTCTAATCTTACCTTTTTGAGTGGACTGATCACTTTGCTCTGGAATCACAAACTCTATAAAAAGATTTTGTATGTAAAGCAAAATTAAGAAAACTCAATTTTCTAAATTGAAGAAAATACCTTTGGCAATTTTTGTTCCAAGTGTTTTATTTACTGCTCTTACAGCATCATACAGCCACCTTACATTTGCTTTACGTCCTTCATCATACACTTCAGTATTTCCTCTCAGCCAATCAGCAACAACATCATTTAGTCCATGCCATGCTGAGTTGTTTCTGTTATTGTAGGCTATGGTGTTTATTGTACCCTGAGGGATACAGAATTCTACAGCCAATTTTTTATATTTTGAAGCTATATCTTTGTCAATCAGTCCCATAATGGTACCATGATCACCTTTATATAAAACAAAGAGTTTTAATGCCAGCTGTATATAACATAACTTAGACTTATTTACTTAAAGTTAGTTCTCTTTTAACAAAAGAATCTTGTGAGAGAAAGACAGCAGACAGTAAACTTGACAATAATTCAACTGTTACCTGGACTGGTACTGAAGCTACTTGCTGAATGAGATGCTAGTGAGGGATCATCACTGACTGATGTATCTTGAATCAATCCTATTTTATAGTACATTATTTATAATTATCTCAGATCCTATAACTTACCTATATATTTTAGTAGTTCAGATTTTGCAATGCCCAGTATATCAGGATAATCATCACACAGTTGTATTAATGTATCCCAACTGACATCTTTATCAGCATCAAACCACCTCTTGAATACCAAATGAAGTTTGGTATTTAGATTGTCTTGCATTCCTATCAAATCAGCCACCTTTACACCTAATCCATTCCCTATTAGCATGTAATGGTGAGCAGAAGAATGAAATATCATCATTACTGTTGCCATATTAAGCTCTCTGCCTATTATAATAGATAATGTATAACAAGCAATTACTACCTTCACCAAGTGTACCTGTTGTAGGACCTTGTGTATTACCCACAGCAGCTCTATTACTAACATTAGGTACTGAAGGATGTCCTTCAATCATTTCTTTGATATTTTGTGCAAGAGTGTTTTCTCTTCTAATTGTCAATGCAGTAATGACATCATTCCAAGTTGCTTCAGGAGAAACAGAGAGCCATTTTGAATACAATTTCCTCTTTTGGTCATTCACACTGGTGCTCTCAGCTTCAATTATTGATACATCATGTTGTGTTATTCCTGGTAAGCAGTAGCCAAATGACTGCCAGTCAACAAGTGGTTCAAGCCATTGAATTAATAATGAAATATCAGGTCGATCATCAATCATAGGACCAGGATTGACTTCAACATCTCCTGATAAGAGGAGGAGCATACGTAGACAAACAATCAAATAGAGATCATTGTAAATCAGGTTAGAACTCCTGCCTCCAGGTAAGACTACTGACTGGAGGTAATTTGTATCAGTAACAGTAACACCAGTAGTATATTGTACTTGGTAGCAGTTACCTAATAATAAAATACCAGTAAATATACAAGTACAAAGTTGCAATTGTTGTTTACCTGTTGGAGGAATCATCAAGATGTGTCTTAATAAAGAGAGAGAGTGAAAGAGGAGGAGGAGTAAAGCAATAAGAAACAGAGCTGCTGGCAGTTTAGATGTCTTCTCTCCTGATGTAGTACTGCCTGACTTGCTGTCTACTGCAGCTTTGAATGAGTGAGAGTGGCGGCCATTAGCTGGTCTACTGGAGGCAGCTTGACAGTAGTTCCACAGTCCAATACTTGCTCTCCATTGACAGATGTCAATCATCTTGTATGTCTGGGGGCCACAGTCTGACACTTCTGAGTTCTGAAATCTGCTCTACACTTGCATAAATTTATACTCCAATGTACAGGAAGTAGGTCTACACTTTATTGTGTCTAGTGTATCACTGGAGGGTGGGTTGTGGTTTTACACTAAAAGTATTTCCTCTCTTCTTATCTAATGTAATCATTTTTATGCATTGAAGCATACTGTATAGAGGGAAATTTTGGAGGGAGCTAAATCTGGTGATTGGCGGTTTTTATTTTGGTGAATTAGTGGCCATGTGCCATTGAGCATGTGTATAATGGCTCAAAATGGCAGTTTTTTTGGCGAATGGCTATCAAAACGTCAATTTGCCAATTTTAATTCCCTCCAAAATTTCCCCGCTATATTGTATTTACTGGTACATGTTACAGTACTGCATTGTACAATTTTCAGATATAAACAGAAGCAACAGTATGTATTATGCACTATCATAATCTACTGTTGGTACTTTTGATAATTTCTCTAATGATACATAAATAAGAGATGACGTACTTTTAAAATGTCATGCATTGTAGTCAGTGAAGCACTGTATCGTACTACTATTCCAGTACATTAATTCTTATAGTAAAATAGGAAGGGTTTGTATAGCAAGTGTATGAGAATTTCTCTATATATTATCCTTCCTATAACTTGCATTCCTCCTGTATTGCTTTCTAGTTAAGTAGTCCTCTTACTTCTAACATGTACATAATCTAATATACTGCCAGTAGCGCTAATTCATTCTTTGTTTATAATATTTAAGTTATCAGTACATTTTGTATGAGAGAGAGAGAGTGAATGAGAGCAGAGGGCAGGAGGAAGGGTGATAGAGAGTATTCTGATTCACCATATAGTTCATACCATAAGTGCATATGTACTTTACTTTATGTACATTAAACTACTATGTATTATAAGGATATAATATCTTTCATTGAAGTCCACTGTAGGCTTAATATGGTCTATTTATATTTTACTTTATTATTTCTACTCAATTTGTACGTCTATACTGTGCCTCAGTAGTATTTGAGGCATCATTTTGTTCTCAATATATTCTGCATTCACCCGACTCCTTGTTTTCCCATAGATAATAAGGTGAGCTTTGTGTACTCTTAACTTTTATTGCCATTGATGACAAAGATCAATAACATGTTACTAAACTGACTGTTATTTCATGAGAGTGTCTGGAAGTGGAGTAGTACATAATTATTTGTGCATCTCTACTATTATTATTTTAGTTATCATTGTTACTATAGCATTTCATAAGTTTAACAAAACTTTCCCAGAACAGAAGCATAATACACACATTGCTCTAGCCCACATACACCATGCAAGCAATACGATGCCATGTTGTTGAAAATTATTAGTTATAATTTGATCGTCTGGCTGTTTAGGCAACATGTTGCTTGCAACATCAAAGTAACCAAAAATAGAATCATCCCATGCCTGGTATCATGAGTATAGTGACCTTAGAGTAAGATCTAGCCTCGTGCCCTGCACAAGATCCCACCAGTTATCACTGTAATGTTTCTTTATTGTTGACTGTCCTCACTATTTATGTATGTATTTAATTAGCTCTAGTTAGCTATTAGTATGTGACATTACAACAAATACACTTAAGTAGATCTACTGGTAGTTCTTTTATCCAGACACTAATGGTAAACATCACAAGAGGAGTGGGAGTATGTGAATGAACTATCATTGAATTACATTCATAGTTATGACTAAATTTAGTGATTTCACAGAAACTTTATTTTGTGCATTAAAATGATTAAAATGTATTATCTATAATAAATACAATAAAAATGAATAATAGAACCAATCAGTAGTACAACAGGCACCTATTTAAATATATACAACCTATTATTATATTGATAGTGATCACAATTATGTACTGGGCTACATGTAGCTATGCACAACAGTAGATTAGTTACATGGTAAGATATCGTAGGTTGACAATGATATAACAAGTCTTTCCTGTAAATTGAAATACAGTATATGAGTATATTTAGTCCAGCAGTGTATAATATGTGTGGTATATAACACCTCATGAAACAGTTACTGGAACACACCACTAGCAGTGACTTGAAATACATCAATCATTGAATATCAGTGTATGTGGAATGCACCCAGTACATGTACAATGTTTATTAGTACAAGCACTTTAATAATAATATCACACCTAATGAGACAAAGTAATAAATCATTATCATATAATATATGCTGATTCACTAACTGATACTATA